CCCACTATGCTCATGGGGACCAAGGCCGGGTGGGAGGAACGCTTTTAAATGCAAAGGGCCTGAAGTGGCCAGCACCCAGGCCAGAGGGCAGCCCGGCTCCTTTGCTGCAGGTGGAGCAAAGGACAAGCCAGCTTGGGACCGGCTGCCTCCAGACCCCGAGATGACAAATTCTTGTCTTCCAAGCCCAGGGTGCAAGGCCAGAGCAAAGGTCTAGTGTGCACGGCCACGGTGGCCCTACCTGCAATTCAGTGCTCAGGGGCCAGCTTGTGTTTGGGACCAGCCTGGGCTGCATGGAGACACCTCCCGGAGAAAAGTACAACGGCACGGCCAGTTGGACGGCGGGACGCCTTGGCCAACTAGCCGCGAGAGGGAGCATCATCTCGGCAGTGTTCTGTCTTTTATGTTGTTTCTCAACATTGTAGGTTGGGAAAAGAAAGGAGTAAAACATGTGCCAGAGGCGATGCTGGGAGTTTTCGTAAATGGCCTGATTCATCCCCCAGCCCTGTTAGACAGGCGCTGTTATCTCTGAGCTGGAAGGGGCGCGCGGGAGGGCGGGCAGGCGGGCGGCAGGCCACAGCTCATGGCCCTCATCAACAGCAGCTTTAATCGCTTTTTTGTGTGTTTTTGAGGTAAGGTCTCACTGTGTAGCCCAGGATGGCCGTGGACTTGAGACCCTCCTGCCTCAGTCTCCCGAGTGCTGGGACTGCAGGTGTGCACTAAGGTACCTGGTGAAAATGCAAGCTGCAATGTGAACCGAGGCAGCCGGTTCTACGCCGGGCTCTCAGCGGCTTCCTGTCACTCGGGCAAGGCGCACTGGGCTTGGGATGTCTTGTCACATGCATACAGAGCGAGAGGGGTCAGGCCCAGACTGACCAGTCCACACGGTGAGTAAACGAAGGTGAAAGAAGGTACCTCCTGAGACCCATAGTGGGCAGGGCTGAGGTGCCTGAGACGAGCAGAGAGCAGGACCTGGCCTCCACGAAGGGTCTCCGTGGAGTGGAGTGCGGGGAGGGGGGGGGGGGAACCGGGCGCCACACGGAAGATTCCTCCCGCTCAGGCCGCGCTGGAGGCTGGCGGCGTCAGCCTCACCTCCTCGCTTCCTGACTGCGCCTCGGTGACCCGTGGGCTTCAGTACGGTACCCTGGTACTGCCAGCCTCGGCCCGGGACCGTGACGCGCCCCTCAGGGGTATCTTAGCTATCAGTCCTGGGACCACTGTTTTCAGAGACCAACCACAAGCCTTCCACCAGGAGGTCCCGCCAGGGATGCACCCCGCCAGGCCACCGCCCGCTGCTGCGGGGTGTGGCGGCAGCGGCTGGAGGGAGAGCCCAGGGGCGCGGGCCTGAGGACCGTCCTGCCCCGAAATGGGGGTTGCCTGTGTGGGCCCTTCCACACCCATCGCTCCAACACAACACACACACACACGCACACACACCCACACACACCACACACATGCACACAACACACACACGCACACCCACCCACCCACACCACACACACACCACACGCACACACACAACACGCACACACACACACACACCACCCACACGCACACACCACACATGCACACACCACACACACACCACACACACGCACACAACACACACACAACACACACACCACACACACACAACACGCACACACGCACACAACACACACAACACACACACCACACGCACATCACACGCACACACACAACACGCACACACGCACACACCAACGCACACACACAATACGCGCACACACACACACACAACACACATGCACACACACAACACACACACGCACACACCACACATGTACACGCACACACACACACACACCACACACATGCACACAACACACCCACGCACACACACCCACACCCACCACACACACACCACACGCACACACACAACACGCACACACACACACACACCACCCACACGCACACACCACACATGCACACACCCACACACACCACACACACGCACACACAACACACACAACACACATGCACACATGCAACACACACGCACACACCACACACACGTACACGCACACACACCCCCACACACCACACACACGCACACAACACACACCCACACGCGCACACACACCCACACCCACACGCACACAACATATACACACAACACACACGCACACACACAACATACACACGCACACAACACACACACAATACACACACACGCACACCACACACACCACACACACACGCACACAACACACACACAATACACACACACGCACACCACATACACCACACACACACGCACACAACACACACACGCACACATACCCACACACACCACACACGCACACACCACACACACACCACACACACCACACGCACACACACAACACGCACACACGCACACACACAACACACACAACACACACAACACACATGCACGCACACAACACACACATGCACACACCACACACACCACACCCACACACCCACACACACCACACACACGCACACCCACACCCACACGCACACAACACACACAACACACACACGCACACACAACACACACACGCACACACACATGCACACAACACACACACAATACACGCACATGCACACCACACACCACACACACACGCACACAACACACACACAACATGCACACACGCACACACATGCACACAACACACACACACAACACACACACAACACATACACACACAACACACACACGCACACAACACACAACACACACACACAACACACACATGCACACACAACACACACACGCACACAACACACACACAACACACACACACACAACACACACACACACATGCGGCTAGGCCCAGGCCCGGATCCTCAGGGCCGAGGGTCCAGGGTGGAGAGGGGGAATTGAGACCCGTGCACCCGGCACCGGGAGCTGCTCAGGTCACAGGTGTCCCTGGAGCTGGCAGTGGACGCCCCTGGGGGCCTCCAGGGTCGGACCCCAGCCTCCCCTCACACCGAGCCTGGGTCGTCCAGAGACAGGAGCAAGGCGTACGCTGAGCTCAGGACGGGCTGGGGAGACACTCGTGTGAGGAAGACTCAGGTGAGCCCCGGGGCCCGGCCGGCACAGCCTCCACGCAGGCCCACACACTGCGGCGAGGCCGGAGCTCCGGCCTCTCCAGAGGGGGACACTGGCTGGACACCCCAGCCCAGCTGGGCGCTGAGGACCAGCTGAGGTGGGACCAAAGTCCTCCCTGCTCAAGAGCAGAGGCCAGTGGGCCAGAGAACAGAGAGGCACCCTGCCTGCCAGAACCACACAGGGCAGGGCCAAGGACTGGCCTGGGTGCCCAGAGGACTGGCCCTCCCAGGGACAGAGCCGGAGGGCAGGAGGTCCCTCCAAGCCGGACTCCGCGGTCAACACCCACACCCCAACCCAGCCCGCGCCCCCAGGAGCTCACGTACCTAGAAGCCACCCGGGCCACCAGCCCAGCTGCAGGACGGCCCAGGCCAGCGGCCAGGGCACCCGCATGCCCAGCTACAGCTGCGCTCCCCCACCGTGGCTGCCGCTTCCTTAAGCAAAGGTGGCAGTGGAAAGGAAACCGGCAGGGTCAGGTTGGGAGGAGGCGGCTGCGTAGACCCCTCCCTCTTCCTCCACCTCCATAGGGGAGGAGGACGTCCTCCTGAGAGGGCGGGAGGGTGTGGGGAGCTGGCTGGAAGGGGTGGGAATGAGAAGAGAGTGGAGAGGGAGGAAGAGGGGGAGGAGCAGGAAAAGATGAGGGGAGGAGGAGGAGCAGGCGTGGGTGGGGGTGTCAGCGCTTTGTCCCTCACTGTGGGGAGTCTGTACCTCAGGCCTCTCCCCTGGACACTGGGATGTTTTGGTCCTTTCTTTGGGGGTTGGGAGGGGGAGGGGGTTCTGCCCCTGGGACCATATATAGCCTCTCTCTGGGGCTCGGCCGGTGGGACCCCACCCTACCCTGTGCAGATGGACAGGCGCAGGCCGGAGCCCTAGAGCTCCAGGAGGAGCAGCAAAGCTGGCTGCCTGCCCCCCCTGCATGCCTGGGGTCAGGTGCCCGCTCCACCCACCTGGCCCGCTGGACAGGGGAGGCCAGCTGGGGGGCAGCAGGCTCCAGCAGCCCGCCTGGGGTGTTGGGGACGTGCTCTTTCCTAGCCCAGGGGCCTAGACATGAGGCCTTGAACCCCGAGCCTTCTCTGGGCCGAAACCCTTTTTCTGGTCATGCCCAGGGCTTTGGTCTCTCTCTCTGTTGCACAGTGGCCTTGGGTTTTCCCATCTGCCCTCTCGTCCTGGCTGACTTCCCCTTTGCCTTGCTGCACACCTCTCAGTCAGTTCTTTCCAGACCTGTCTTCAGCCTCCGCTGATGGCTGATTTCCTGCCCTCTGCACCCTGGTTGGGGTGAGGCCAGCCCGGCCTCCTCCCCACTCCCCGACTTGTTACTTGTGGCGAGCTCTGGTTGTTTCATGGTGTTATACTCTAAGCTTTGACCATGATGAATGGAAAACAGGAAAAACGAAACTGCTGATATTAGTGATGATATGTGTGGGTCGCAGCACCCTAAAATAACCAGCCAGGCTGGAAACTGCCTGGCTGTGCCTCAGAGGGGAGCCAGGCTGGGCTGGAAGGAAACGTTACCGAACACTGTGGAAAAAGAGCGTCAGCGGCTGCTGGTGAGGGCCACAGGGCGCTTGCTCAGCAGGTGCTTCGCTGCTGTTCTCAAGTCTCAGCCTGGGGTTGGGGTGTAGGGAGGACTGGGGGTTCCCCTTGCCCAGACCCAGCCGAGGAGGTGTCACACTGCAGGCCTGCCCTGCATGGCCTCCCAGGGAGCAGCGGCTCCCAGAGCGGCAGGTCAGCATGTCCTACTACTGGACCAGGCAGCAGGGCTGGGATTGGTCAGGAGGCCGCTGGACCAGGCAGCAGGGCTGGGATTGGTCAGGAGGCTACAGGCAGGAGGGCTGGGATTGGTCAGGAGGCCACTGGACCAGGCAGCAGGGCTGGGATTGGTCAGGAGGCCACTGGACCAGGCAGCAGGGCTGGGATTGGTCAGGAGGCCACTGGACCAGGCAGCAGGGCTGGGATTGGTCAGGAGGCCACTGGACCAGGCAGCAGGGCTGGGATTGGTCAGGAGGCCACTGGACCAGGCAGCAGGGCTGGGATTGGTCAGGAGGCTACAGGCAGGAGGGCTGGGATTGGTCAGGAGGCCACTGGACCAGGCAGCAAGGCTGGGACTGGTCAGGAGGCTACAGGCAGGAGGGTTGGGATTGGTCAGGAGGCCACAGGCAGGAGGGCTGGGATTGGTCAGGAGGCTACAGGCAGGAGGGCTGGGATTGGTCAGGAGGCTACAGGCAGGAGGGCTGGGATTGGTCAGGAGGCTACAGGCAGGAGGGCTGGGATTGGTCAGGAGGCCACTGGACCAGGCAGCAGGGCTGGGATTGGTCAGGAGGCCACTGGACCAGGCAGCAAGGCTGGGATTGGCCAGGAGGCCACAGGCAGGAGAGCTGGGATTGGCTGGGAGCTGTGACTGGCTGGGGGCTGACTCTGGACAGAACCCACTCAGTCACTTCTCTACTCTTTGTCTGGGGTTTACTCTTGGTCCCCATCCTCCTGTGGGGCCCCAGTGCTTGGTGCTCTGTGTGGACAAAGCTCTCCACTGAGGACTGGAGGTGTGGCTGCCTGGGTGGGAAGATGTCTGGCTCCAGGCCTGTGTGGGGAGGGAGGGAGGGAGCTTCTGCTTGTGTCCCCCGTCCTCTGCACCTCTGCCTTCTCTCTCCTCTTCCCTCCCCCATCCCTCTTCCTACCTGGGCAGGGACTGGGTGGTGTGCCAAGGCTCACAAAGCTTATGAGCAGTAGGATGAGGATTCTGATGGAGGCTGAAGGGTCTTGCGTGGCTCCTGGAACCTTCTGAAGGACACGTGGCCCAGGGAGGGTCTGGGGACTTCTGGCGTCCAGAATAGGAGCCTAGAGGTGGAGGAATGGCTGTCCAGGCTTGGGGTAGGCGAGCTGCACCCCGATACCACACTCCTCGGCAATGTTCCCCCAGCACACGCCTCTCAACACAGCTTCCCCAGACACGCACGGGCCGTGACATACATACCACCCCCAGAACAGGGCACCCCCAACACATGGGAGCCCAGCACACGCTATCCTCAACACACATAGCCCTCCTCACACACTACTGAACACACCCACAAACCACAATGCCAGCACACACAGTTCCAACACACATAAGCACAACTCCCACAATTCCCCACCACATACACACAATGTCAGCACTCATACACCCTGTTAGTACCCTAGCCCTCTTCGATAAAGAGGAAGACGCTGGGCTGGAGGGGCTGCGGTGCCTGCTGACTCCCATTTCCTTAGCCTTCCTGACCCTACTTCCTAGCAGGGGTCACGGCCAGAGAGGGCCCGCGTGGAGCCAGGCTGGCCCCGGGGTCAGGCCTTCCGAGATGCTGCAGAGGCAGACGCTGCTTATTTCTCCTCACAGCACAGGACGTGCCAGCAAGGGAGGCTTCGTTCAGTGACCCTGAGCCTGGGCGAGCACATTGCCTGTGCACTGTCACCCCAGGGGACAGGCCGCAAGGCTGTGGCCTAATGCTCTTCTCACAGGCACGTGGCAGGTGCACCACACACCCGTGTGACACAGTGGGTTGGGTCGGACTTGCCACGTGTACTGACCCCCAGGGTCTGTCCATGTGTACTGCGTCCTGTGGTCTGTCCATGTGTACTGCGTCCTGTGGTCTGTCCACGTGTACTGCCCCCTGGGGTCTGTCCATGTGTACTGCGTCCTGTGCTCTGTCCATGTGTACTGCCCCCCGGGGTCTGTCCATGTATACTGCCCCCCGGGGTCTGTCCATGTGTACTGCGTCCTGTGGTCTGTCCATGTGTACTGCCCCCCGGGGTCTGTCCACGTGTACTGCGTCTTGTGGTCTGTCCATGTGTACTGCGTCCTGTGGTCTGTCCATGTGAACTGCGTCCCGGGGTCTGTCCATGTGTACTGCGTCCTGTGGTCTGTCCACGTGTACTGCATCCTGTGGTCTGTCCACGTGTGCTGCGTCCTGTGGTCTGTCCATGTGTACTGCCCCCCGGGGTCTGTCCACGTGTACTGCCCCCCGGGGTCTGTCCACGTGTACTGTGTCCTGTGGTCTGTCCACGTGTACTGCCCCCCGGGGTCTGTCCATGTGTACTGCCCCCTGTGGTCTGTCCACGTGTACTGCGTCCTGTGGTCTGTCCACGTGTACTGCCCCCCGGGGTCTGTCCATGTGTACTGCCCCCCAGGGTCTGTCCACGTGTACTGCGTCCTGTGGTCTGTCCACGTGTACTGCCCCCCGGGGTCTGTCCATGTGTACTGCCCCCCGGGGTCTGTCCACGTGTACTGCGTCCCGGGGTCTGTCCATGTGTACTGCGTCCCGTGGTCTGTCCACGTGTACTGCGTCCCGGGGTCTGTCCATGTGTACTGCCCCCCGGGGTCTGTCCACGTGTACTGCGTCCTGTGGTCTGTCCACGTGTACTGCCCCCTGTGGTCTGTCCACGTGTACTGCGTCCTGTGGTCTGTCCACGTGTACTGCCCCCCGGGGTCTGTCCATGTGTACTGCCCCCCGGGGTCTGTCCACGTGTACTGTGTCCTGTGGTCTGTCCATGTGTACTGCCCCCCGGGGTCTGTCCACGTGTACTGCGTCCCGGGGTCTGTCCACGTGTACTGCGTCCCGGGGTCTGTCCACGTGTACTGCGTCCTGTGGTCTGTCCACGTGTACTGCCCCCTGTGGTCTGTCCACGTGTACTGCGTCCTGTGGTCTGTCCACGTGTACTGCCCCCCGGGGTCTGTCCATGTGTACTGCCCCCCGGGGTCTGTCCATGTGTACTGCGTCCTGTGGTCTGTCCATGTGTACTGCCCCCCGGGGTCTGTCCACGTGTACTGCGTCCCGGGGTCTGTCCACGTGTACTGCGTCCCGGGGTCTGTCCACGTGTACTGCGTCCTGTGGTCTGTCCATGTGTACTGCGTCCTGTGGTCTGTCCATGTGTACTGCATCCCAGGGTCTGTCCACGTGTACTGCGTCCTGTGGTCTGTCCACGTGTACTGCGTCCTGTGGTCTGTCCATGTGTACTGCGTCCTGTGGTCTTTCCATGTGTACTGCATCCCAGGGTCTGTCCACGTGTACTGCGTCCTGTGGTCTGTCCACGTGTACTGCGTCCCGGGGTCTGTCCACGTGTACTGCCCCCCGGGGTCTGTCTACGTGTACTGCGTCCCGGGGTCTGTCCACGTGTACTGCGTCCCGGGGTCTGTCCACGTGTACTGCGTCCTGTGGTCTGTCCACGTGTACTGCACCCTGTGGTCTGTCCACGTGTACTGCGTCCTGTGGTCTGTCCACGTGTACTGCCCCCCGGGGTCTGTCCATGTGTACTGCCCCCCAGGATCTGTCCACGTGTACTGCGTCCTGTGGTCTGTCCACGTGTACTGCCCCCCGGGGTCTGTCCATGTGTACTGCCCCCCGGGGTCTGTCCACGTGTACTGCGTCCCGGGGTCTGTCCACGTGTACTGCGTCCCGTGGTC